GCCCCGCGCGAGCCGCCCTGCCGCGGCCCCGAGCCCGCTGCGCCGCCGTCCCCTCACGGTGTCCCGCACCCCCTTAGCGCCGACCCCTCTCCTCACTGTCCTCGGTGCCCCCGGGACCCCAAGAGGCCGGCCCGGGACTCCGACATCTAGGGCTGGGCTCCGGCCTCTTCACCTGCGGGGAAAGCACCCACAGGGGTCCCCCCCAGAGCCCTCCCAGGCCTGGGCCTGGCGGTGACTCAGCAAAGCACAACGGAGGCCGCGGGGGTGGGGGGCTGGGGGGAAGCCCAGCGCGGCGGGAGGGGGGCCACGGCGGGCCCGAAGCCCCAGGCCAGAGCCAACCGCTCCCGAGGTCCCGTCCGGGCCCTGCCACTCTCCACAGCCTCCCATCCCGGGTGGCAGCCCGCTCCAGCGCCCCCAGCATCCTCCATGACGGCCCCTTACCGGGTTGAGGGGCGTACCCCCCATCAGGCCTGAGCCTCAGAGGAGCTCCCAGTGGGGTAGGGGGTAAGGCTGAGGGGTGCCGGGGGAGCACGGGGTCCCCTCCCCCTCACCTGGCCAGAAGGCCGGTGGCCGCTTCCGGGAGCCTCAGTGGCCATCACGTGCTCCGCATGGGCAGCCGGACCCACACCTGTCAGCACAGAGTTCCGTTCCCAGGTGGTGCCCAAAGGGCCTGCGTGGTGTCAGGCCTGTTGGCCTCAGGGGCATCCCACGGGTCAGAGCAGCAGCCCTCCGGCTAGTAACCAAGAAACAGGGCTCTATGTGACAAAACCCGCCTGTTCACAAGGCCTGGAGGAAGGGGGGTCTGGGAAGGAGGTGGGCAGGAAGGGTAGGTCGCCCTCTGTAGTGTCCCAGGCGGGGTCCTGAGAGTAGAAGGCAGACCTGTTGAGTCGGAGCCATGTCCTCTGGTGGTGGGGTTTGTGCGATGGGAGAGCCAGAAGGGAAGGGTGGGTGGCTGGACTTGGCTCCGAGCTGTGGAGGCGATCTGCTTATGGGAACACAGCAGGGACCTGTCCGCAGGTGTGGCTGGTCCTTCCCAGGGGGCTCCAGAGTAGGTGCACCTCGCCCCAAGCAGCCCTTTAAAGAGGCCGTACCCTCTCAGGCCCCTCCCCGCATCCCTGTTGTGAGCCTGGGAAAGGGACCCGATGCTCACTGCCCTGCAGACAGGATCAGAGGATGGACAAGGGGCAGGCTGGGCAGAGGCTGCCGGGGCCCACAGGTGCCCATGGGTGTGTGACTCAGCAGCCCCGGGGCCTCGCCACGCAGGGCAGCCTGGACCAAGAGCCCAGCTTCCCAGCCCCCCAAGTTTCAGGGGCCCCATTCGAGTGAGTGGGGTGTGCAGAAGGAAAGCCCTGGGGCTCTGGGGGACCTCGGGTCTCAGGAAGGGCTCGAGGTGCGGCCCCTGTCCAAACAAGCAGCGGAAACAGACGCTTGCAGGCAGAACCTGCTTTGCTTTCTGGCCCTTTGGCCCCATTGGAGACCATGGTGGGTCTGCAAGGAGGGATGGAGAGCTTAGGGGAAATGGGGGTGGCAGGAAATGGGGCCCGGGGAAGCCAACCTGGACGCCCCCACCCCTAGGAGAGTCCCCGCTCTGGCCTGCCCAGGATGCCCTCCCGCTGAGCGTGGCCCTGGCCCTGCCCTCCCCTCCTCCCCCAAGGCCAGTGAGAAGTAAACAAGGCTGGGGAACCCCCTGGCAGGGCCCTGTCGCCTGCCGGGAGAGGTCAGGTGGTCTGGCCGGCAGTGAGTCAGCATCCCATGACCACCGTCCTAACAGGGGATCCCCGCCCCACTGCTACCTAGCTCAGTGACATTTTAACAGGCAGCCGGGGTGGGGAGTGGGACCCCAGAGCCGCAAGAGCCCACAGAGGCCCCCGAGGCAGCAGGGAGACCAGAGCCAAGCAGACCCTGTCCCCGGGGTCCAAAGCCCCCTTCTGACATCTGCTGCCTGGCCCCTCTCTGGACTTCAGGGACCTCCCCTGTGCTGGCTGGCGCCTGAGTCAGAAGACCCACTATGCAGCAGTCCCGCCATCTTCGGGCGTATGACAAGCCTCTGAGTCTCCCCATCTTTGAAATGGGGCTAGAATGGGGCCCTCCCAGATAGCTGGCTATGGTTTGGCTGCCTTTGGGGGCATCAGCTGGCAGTGGGGGTGTCAGGAAGGAGACCAGAGTAGGGTTTGAGGTGAAACAGTGGGGAGCACAGAAGAGACATGAGTCAGAAGTTTCCGGGGGATGAGCAGGGGTGGCCGGGAGGTCATCTGATTCGGTTTATTGCTGTCTCATGTTGTAAGCACCTCAGTGCCTCGTTCCTTACAGAAGTAATCCCATCCCCTGACAATGGCTTTCTGAGGTTCTGTTTATTTTCTTTGGGGTATGGAGCCAAGCCTACAGGTGGGTGGTGGCCCGACAATGGCTTTCTGAGGTTCTGTTTATTTTCTTTGGGGTATGGAGCCAAGCCTACAGGTGGGTG